ACGGCAAAACGCGCGTCAAAGAATTTTTTGGCAGGTATTACGGTAGTTTTCTATCAAGACAGCTTAATTTATAGACTAACGCAGATCTCACCCTGCAACTCTGAATAAAAACTGTTCGATGAATAGGACCATAAAAAGTGGTTAGTTGATGTTAGGTTGAAAAATTTTAGCAAAAGCAGACTGTGACTATCTCGCAACATGGATTATGAATACCATGCATGCCTTAAATAAAACACAAACAACGAAAATATTCTAAAGTTTGTGCACATAATAATGAATAATACGCATGCCATAATTACAATAATGGAAACTTTATTAATGCATTTCAAAGCTGAATATTCCTAAAACCCGATTTGCGAAACTGAATCGAGCTGGCTTGTTGGAGATCGTTTCAACTATGATGATTGTTTGGTACAAAGTCAGTACGTTTTTCTGAATAGTGTCCCAAATATGCCATGAACCTTACTGAATGATATGGTAATTTGAAATCGTCAATATTACAAGTGCTTCCCCAATATTTATACAAACATGATCCAAACGTGAGACTCCAAAGAATAGTTGGACCAAATATGTATGCTACGAGCGTAAAAGTTTTCATATTGTTGGAGATACTTTCTAAAATTGATCGCATGTAGGTTTTGGAGAGCGACTTATCCTCCAGCAGAGATGAACAATCGTTTATGGGTTATGTAATCTCCAATGTTAATAATGATTTTTGCCACTGGATAAGCGCCAACCAAAACGTTTGAGATCTCTAATCAGCTAGAACATTGCATTTCTTCCTCGCCATGAAAGCACACTGAGCACTGCTGTGTCAACAGTGATAACAAAAGGAGAAACAAAGGGAATTCGATGAAGATAGGAAAGAAGTAATATGCTTCAAATAGTGTTTTGGAAAATTCAGACCACTTAATACGAGCAGTAATGATACACATATAAGGTGAGCGATTCTGAAAGTATTTTTGCAGCTAAGCAACCAGAAAAGAATTAGGACTGCTCGTTATTGGCTTGATTAATAACAAATTAACAGGGAGCCTGAGACAGTTTACATCAAGAAATGGTTGTGCAATGTTCTCAGCGTTATCCCTAGGACTAATCTTAAAAAGGAGACCAGGGCTCGGCACGAGGTGATTTTCGAAAATGCAAAAAAAAACGAAGTCCCCTACTTTCGCAAGATTTAGAAGTCCCCTTTGGCCCTTATGCGAAATATCCGGATCGAGTAAAAAGAGAATAACAACTAAAGAAAACTTAATTTCGGACCCCAAAAAACGACATTCCCTTTGCTTTTAGTCCCAAAAACGATATCCGGCTTGATTATGAGCCACTTGTGCCGAACACTGACGAACATCAACTACTTTTGAAACACTCTTAACGCTTTGCATTCTCTTTAGCTGAAACAAGGTTTACGATGTTGTTGTCGATTTTACCGGAAAATTCTTGCTCAGCTCGACAAAGGCTCAGTACTGAAATATATGGGGTCCCAAACTTCAGAAATTGAGATACTTAGTTGCTGACATAGTTGGTCTATTGAGTAACGTACCATCATCGGTAATGAACCGGAACCGTTGAGTTTCAATGAGTTCTTGAACTTAATTTCAATTGCAGCACTTCAGAAACGTTCAGTACTGTCATTCCACTTCGTTACTTACTATTACATTCAACTACATTAGGCGACCAGAAAGATGGGTCCAGGAAAGTTTCATCCTTTTTCAAGTTTGCCACGAGTCGTACTACATTGACACAAGAAAAACTGAGCAGAGCTTTTTCGAATTTATTAGCGGCTTTTCTCAACAAATGTGCATCGTGCGCGATGTTCGGCGCCTCGCTTTACATCGAATCCACACATTATCAGTCATCAAAATTGAATGGTGGTAGAGTTCTGTATGGCTGTGATGGACGAGTATGTCATCAACCGACGTTGTGTAATCATTCTTAGCTCTCACTGTGATAAGTATACTTTCAAGGTGGCCCAAATGAAGCATTGATCACTTCTGAAAAGTTGAGATTGAAAGAAATCAAGAGCCACTTGCCCAAAGATGTTTACAAGACAGCTTTTTGTTCGCCATATCATTTTTATGCATTGCTCGTTCAAAGGACATCAGCTATTAATTATCTTAATTCTGTAATACTTCAACTTCACTGGAATGAGACAGTTTCATTATGTCAAACACATGATCATTACTCACCCAAGCTCTAAAATAAAAATTTTGCTGTAAGAATGTGTTGAGTACATATCAAGGGCATCAACCACACACCGCTAACCACACATGATACAGACAAAATGATTGATTTTTTGACTAGGTTTCAGCAAAGTCGCGATCACCCAAAATCAGCTATAGCTGTATTTGAGCTATGATATTTTTCGATAATCCTGGGTGGCCTAAAACGAAAATCAAAACAAGCAAACAAATGACGGCTCTCAAAAAGTTCTATCCTCTCGGAAAATAAAAAATGGATCAACACCAAAATTTCCTCATTTTTCTATTACTGCAACTGAAACGATGAAATCAGTTCCTATCCATATGAGAGAGCGTGACTGGTTCCGCGTTTGACGCTCAGTTAATCGTATTACGGTAGCTTGAATCGAGTGGAGCAAGTCGTAAATTTGCGGAATCGCAGGTGAGGCCGACAAGCGAGCCAATTTCCAATGATAAACAGCGCTTTCCGTCCCAAACATTAAACTAAATGATGAGAGATATGCGCATGGCCCGTGCGTTCTCGCCCCGAGCAAAAACCTCCAGTGAACGTATTGTCTTTTTGTTTTGCGCGCTTAGTTAGAGATCATTTGTTGTATGACCTAAAAGTGGAAAAACACATATGAATATGCTTTGTGGGTGCGCAACGTTCGCATTCACCTTCACGAGTTAGACTTTCAACAGAAAAACTTTTTTTTTACTTTTCTCCATCTCAATGTCCTTCTCGGAAGAGTAAGGCTAGAACCGATAAGCGACATGAAGAAAATTCATATGGGAAATAGGCTGGAGACTACATTTCGATGCGCCGTTTAAAATAGTTTGGCATGTTGCCAAAAAAATCAGAGACAGCTCGAAAAAAGCAAAGTCTAAGTAGTAGCAGCTGCTGGCACTATTCGGAGTCGAAAGTTGACACTGGCAAGTGGAGCAGTTTAAGAGCTGATAGCTTTGCTTATGGGTTCTCTTTACTGCTCTAGGAAACACGCGAAAAGAAGTCATTAGGAGTAACTGCTGGCTAAGAGCAATTAGTAGAAAACTGAACATGAAATCCACTAACTACTACTCTGGATTGTAACAGACAAATAAAATAATTCTTATCAGAACAGCAAGAACGTAAATAAAGTGTATGTTGGTGAGTTATAGATTGCAAATGTACGGTATCACAATTTCTTTATAGTCATGACAGACCAAACTAATTTAGAACACGAGGAAACTATGATATTATGCGAGACTCGGGGTTTAGAGTCTCTGTTTTCTTCGTTTAGGCAGAATGACATGACTATTCAACTTATTTAAACATAGTACTGTCGACTGTGAACCTGACCCTATTGCTCCTTCAAAAAATTCTAATTATTGAAGGGATCAAATGCCTTTCTAAAAGAATAAAATTTTCAACAAGCAGGAAGAACGATTACCTGGTTTTGAAAGGCTCAAAAACATTGGTTTCTTAGCTTGCTAGTTTCTCGCAAAAATAATGCCCTTTTTTTGTAATTTTACAACAGAGCTTTTTATCGCATTTTTCGATCTTGGTAAAAGTGGAAAGCGACAGTGTGACAACTAAGATTGTTCACGGCAGAAATCGAGACAATTGCCAAAGTTCAAAGAGTTGACTCCTTGGTATTATCCGATTTCCGTTCAAATGAGGGAAAAACACATTCGTTTACAAATTACAAAACTTGACTTTGCATCGACGGTGCGTACATTTGGTGATGGAAAAAATCTTGAAAAGCCTAGGATGTGACAGGAGATTGTCTATTACCGTAAAGAGGTCCGTAAGGGTGAAAGGGAGCCAGTCCACTAGCGGTAGTGGTAGTGGCGGGGAGGGGTGCGAGCGCCGGATCATTCAAAAGGTAATAAACGCAGTCGCGAGGATCATAAAATAGCCGAAAACGGCCGCCACACTCACACAAGTATGTGCTAACTTTACGATGTCCACTACGATGTTGCAGTTGACTGACTGCGCAGAGTGAACGAGGTCGAGAGAAATCTCATTATCGCACCTGCTAAGGTTAATGGGAAAAAAATTTAGCCACTGCAGCGAGTTGGTAGAAATGTCTGAAAAAATTTACTTTTGCTGTTGTATTACTGTTAGAGGAAGCCGCAGATCTAAGCCATTATTGACTGATAATTATAATTATTTTATTTTTGTTTGACCACTTACGGCAAAAAAATAATGAAACGTTACATTGTTCATTTCGAAAGTTAGGGGTTCAAATACGCTGCACATTTATTGCTTTACAGGCTCAAACTTGTTTCTGGTTTTATCTACACAAGAGAACATTCTTATGCACAAGTTATAACTTGTTAAACACATTACAACGTCTGTCTGAGAATGAAGATTATTTGCTTTATGTTGAATGCGTTCATTTTATCTTCGTAAAGGAGATTGCCATTAGCAGTGCGGAGCAGGTGCCGAACAAAAAATAAATTTACGTTGTGATCCTATCGAAATAAATTTTGAAGTGAACGATTATTTGATATCAATTGCTCAAAAATCCGAGTTGAGCTGATCTCGAGCTTCGTTTCTCACTTAAAAGTCGCGCGAATGAGACGCATTTAATTCGCGTAAATCGACACACCATCTCATCTATCTCGGGTGTTCATAATCGTGCTATCAAACGTTGTGTGTCCCTACAAAGGAGACGTTTCCCCAGCGATGAACGAGAATTTATGGCTTGTTTTATGGCTGCACGAGCGGCAAGATCAAAGGAGCCGCGCGCCGTCGCCGATTGGTCGCCGCGCTCTGCGTCGCTGCCCGCGGCCGCGCCCCCCGTCGCACGCGCGCCTCTCTGGGGCTCTGCCGCCCGTCTTGACGGTAGTCGACGATGAGTATGTATCCGAACTGGACCGGCGACGATTCCTACTGGGGTGGTCAGGCGGCCCCTCAGGGTCTGGCTGGCCCTATGCCACAAGCGCAAGCCCTCAAACAACCCTATGATCCTCTGCTCTATAATCAAAGCTATATGAATAACATGAAAAATATGCTCGCCGCTCAATGGGTTGAAAACTCTAATCCGTAAGTCGTTTTCTCCTTTTTTTCCGTTTATGCATACTTATGAGGTTATAGCCAGCACTCTGGCTTCAAACTTATTTTCTCTTTCTACTTATCGATCCCACATTTACATTACAACCGAATCGATTTATACTCACGCGCTACGACAAAATTCTTCAGATTTTCCGGCTACAATGCTCTTCAAGCCAGTTCAGCAGCTTTTCCCGAACGATCCGTTCATCTTGCCCAGCCCGTATTTCCATGGATGAAAATGAGCGGTAAGTCATTTACTCCGTTTATCACCGCTTTCTCACTATCATTTGCTTTACGATCTCTTCCTTGTTATTGCCGAGAGCTGTTCTTCTCTGTTACTACGGTGTGTGTGTCGTTGGAACGAACACACTCCACACTCATCTTTTGCGAATGTCCATAAAATCGTGTTTAATAGTTGATTCGGCCGATTGATAGCCAGTCATAAAGGAAACACATAAATGAGGCGCGGCGATTTGTGTTCAGAAAATGTTTTAGCACCATCGCGCAAGAATGAGCCTTTCGGCTAAATTATCGTTAACGATATTGATGATTTACATCGGTTTTTGAGTCGAAGTGCGCTATTGAATGTAAAGATAAGGATCGGCAACGCGTGTTTTGAGAAAAACTTGCGCATGATTCTGGAATACTTAGAAGAAAAATTTGCAAAAAAAATAGCATCGTTCTTGTCGGCAGCACACCTTTCAGTTTGACGGAACTACCACCTGGACTTATAAACGTTGAAAAAGGCTTTATGATGATTTTACACTGGGACTGTGAAGTACCAAAGCTGACATTCATTTTTTATATTATTGCTATTTGGCTACGTTATTGGCAAATTGCCATCAAGTTGGCACCTCTATTCAACGGAAACAGTCGACATACAAACAAAATTATCAAGCTTCAAAAAATTCCAATTTTCTATGATATCAAAACATGCTACAGCTCTTTTTCATTCCCAATAATTTAAGCTTTTTAATCGGGTTTTTGTGGTATTCTAAAGCGAACTCTAATGGTTTTCTAACGCTGTTTATGGAAAAACTCGGCTAATATTAATGCCCCTGTCAGGAAGAGGTGAAAATGTAGAGCGATTTGTTCGATACAATCGAATTTGCTCTTCTCTATCACGTGTTTCCGACCTTTAAATGGATTATGATTGAATACACGTCACGGCCTACAAAACCGACTTTAGCAGCTTTTGTGTAAACTAATTCCGATTCATTCATTTGGGAAGAGAAAATCTCTATTTCTATTGGTGTGCGCCTTTCGTTCTCTCCCACTTTTTCGTTTGGATAAGAATTTATGTTTGATAATATTATTTATTACCCACTGCGACAGCGTAGTTCCAATCGATGTGCACGCTTTCCGATCCATAATTCACTCTTCGTCTCACTTCACCTTGTGTTACATCGGGCAAATTTTGCGAATTTTCGCGTCATTGCGAGCCAGATAAGCGAAATTTTCGCCAGTCGATTCTCTTCCCAGGTCATCCTTATTTGTGGCTCACTACAGCCATTTATCACATGTTCATCCAACGTCCCTAGAGGGGCGCGTTCCTCAGCTGAGTGAGAATCTTCTTTCATTTTTTAGAGCTCAATGTTACTTTGAATTTTCTCTATGACTTGGAGATTAGTGTTCTTCCCAACCCCCAATTGTGACCAGCCATTGGCGGGGTGTTGTGACTGTACGCGACGGACAAAAGTAGCTGTAAACCCCTAGCAGCTGCCCAAACCTAATCCTGATTTACGGTATGTTTACACCGCAGTGATATGCCTTAGTCTAAGCCGATCTGACAGCGGATTACCCAACCGCGAGGTCGATCGCTGCTTCAGCAGTTCTACTACAAAACTTTCGAAGACATCGCTATTCTGCCAAGATGCTCATATGGTGCTACGCGGGCTACGTTTTTTCTACAGCCACCTGACCTCGCCGGCCGAACTAGTTGTCACATAATTTTCGGAACATATTTCAGCACATTGCACGAATCTAATTTTCGTCGCTACATATTTCAACATTTAATGGGATGGCGTCGATCTGACAGCGCCTTTTTTGTTCGCTCTGAGAGCGGCGGCGCGGCAACCAAGCGAACGACGATCCTTACAAGCGCGCTTTGGCGGAGAAGATTTTTGAAAATGTCACTTCCAATGTCATCAAAGGTTAACGACTTCGAATCAATCATGTTGTGATAACAGCCTTTTTGCCACAAAAAACACAACTTCACAGTTTCATTCAATTTGAACGTCAGGATTTGAGAATTTCACTTCTTTGGCCAGCAAAGGCGTACACAAACTACAAAATTCTCTTTTTTCTAAAGCCAAAGTAAAGTTATGCTATACTCGTTTATAATTTTATCTAAATTAAATTCAGTAATGCCTTGCATTAACGTAATCATGGCAATGAAAATTCTACTTGCTTTGTAAAGAAACTAAAACTCTCGAATTCCTCTCCCTAGGCATCGGTTAGAACCTAGCATCAGTTATTTTTTGTATATTCTGTGCTTTAGATAATTCTCATCTATCCACTCACTATAACCTTGTTGATCTGGGGTAATGGATGATACTTTTCCCTTATTTAGCTCTTTGAGATGGGTCAGTCGAAAAATTACCATTGATTAGATGGATAAAAATCTTTAGAAAAAGCTGTGTGGCGCGGAACTTTTCAACATTGAAAACAAAGCTTTTTTCTACAATATACCCACAGACAGCGTCCGTGACTCGTGCTAGTTAAGCTTTGATTATGTACCAAAGACTCAGAGACACGGCATCAAAAAAACCTCTTAATTAGGGATAATTCTCTAACGCATTTTTTTGGAACTGTACGTCATCAAAGAAGCGAAGAGCTAGTCAAAGCTGTTTTTTCTTATATTTGGCCAGTACAGATACTTTAGGCCCTTTGACAAGCGTCTACTATGTCTACGGGAAGATCTGTCCTCAGAGTACTTTTCACAAAATCCAGAACTACGCCATGGCAGAGCAGAGCGTGATTGCGATTTGGTTCAATAAATCAATGCAGCCGGCGACGTGGGCAACTTGTTTTTGCCGCCCTCAGGTGCGACCATCTCTCAGCGCCGGCGATAAATGATAATGAGTAGAGAGCCGGGGAACATCGTGTAGTAGCCGTTCTTCGTGGGCTCCTTTACTCCTTTGTGGACTCGAGCCAACAGACTTCATCGTCAAAATTGCACGGCAGTGGAAATGATTGCCGTGAGAGCCGGCGCTGGAAGATGGGGCACATCATCAGGGGCAACCGGCATTTTTCCCATCCGGGCATGACGAACCAAATTATGGGCATGCCGGAAAAATCGCGAAAAACGAGCGTTCACGACAGAAACGACGGAAAAGCGCCGAAATCTGCTCTGACACTCCTTGACACCCCGTTGTGAATCGAACATTACGAATGAGGGAGAAAAAGCGTAAAAGATTTCGGGATCTTCTTCGGTGTTCAATTTTTCCTTGTAAAAGGTCCTTTCGTGGATGGATAGACAAAATGCTGAAAAATACTTTTTTCAGTAGTTGAAAAATTGTCTTCGTGGAGATATGTCCATATTCCAGCGCAAATTTAACTCAAACAGCTATCGGTCATCATAAGTCGTTCCTATTAAACTAAAAAAGAGGTATATAAATCGTTGTGATTCTTTCTTTACCGGTAAATATGCGTCACATCATTATCTTAATCCATTTTTTGACATTTTTTCGATCACTTTGCCAATTTTTCCTTTTTCAAGAAAAAATCGTACATGTACACATTCGAGCAGACGTTCTTGAAACCTCAGCATGTCGAGTGAGTGTGTTGGAGAAACAACTGGTGCAAGCTGTCAAAATGTTTGAAATATTGCCGAGGCGGCTTGGCTTTGATCCGTCCCGTCGACCCTCCAACTGTCGTGTATTTGTTCGCGCTGACGACACCTGCGACCGCTACGCAACCGCTGCGCTAGAGGCTACCGTATCACACGCTTACATTGCTTGGATGATTCAATGAAGCAGCAATGGCTTACGGATCGGGTTATCGGGTTCCATAGTATGCTCATATGCCTTAGGTTCATGGTCTAACAAAAAATCAAATTGCCAGAAATCTTGTGAGTGTCCCCCCGATGGGACCATTACCTCTGCAGTTTATCGCTACCCTACTCATTTACGAGTGCCGAACAGTGGAGTGTACGGGGGCCGATAAGCGAAGTTTTACGATGTCTCGGCGTCCTCCTCTCCATAAATTTCGCGCGCAGCCTCTGCCAGTGTGTCTATCCGACTGACCATCTCTTTCACACCCCAACCAGAACCAGGCTGGCGACTCGTCTTTTTCTTTCTACCATTTGCGCTTTTTCGCCTTTGCTGGAAAATTATTTTCGTAATTGAGTTTCGGTAGGTAACCTTTTTGTCGAGGATTTTTGTAGAATGCAATTTGCGGTGTTATGAACTTGCAGACATACCCGTTTTGTTCCAAACTTTGTAAGTGACACGAGGGGTTTTGTCAGAAAGCCTTTTTTTGAATTTTGAAAGCAGGTAACTCACGGATGTCGTTGCTGTGGGTATGTTCAACATGAAGCGACTAAAATTAACTTAACTATTATAATTTCTTTGACCGCTCCTGTTTTCAGCTCTGAATCAAAATCATTTAATTCTTTGCTGTAAGCAGTAGGTGGCTGTTTCACTTTCTCCAATCAAAATGGTTGTGAAGATTTAAAATTCTGAGTTACTCCGCAATGCGGAGCTTCTCCAATTTTTTTAAACTTTAAGATCTCAAAAACTTCACATCACTTCAAGCTAAGCATCCTAAGCGATCTCACAATCAGTTATCTAAGCGACGAATTCATAATATTGATAATGGAGACATCTGACGAAATTTTCCAAAACAGAGTGTTGTAACATTTTCTTTCGACTTCGATCTCAAATTTTTGAAGATTATTGTGCGTTTGCTGGCGGCCAAAAAGAAGTTTTGGCGTTCTAATGTGGTTTTCAATTTTTTTCTAGAACGTCAATCACAGTACTTCATGGTTAAAGTTCAGCAATCGCAAGGCGCTGATTGTTCAAAAATTACGAACTCCTGGTGACCAGTCATAAGCGATATGTGTCAGCAGAAACAAAAAATTACGGGTAAAAGTTGCGAAGGGTACTTATCTTTTCACTAGGTTTTTTGTTGATAATCTATAATACTGGAAATTTTACTCCATCATCTCAGCAGCTGGCAAGCAATCACTATGCTACCAGGGCATTGAAAATGTGTATTCTGTATCATTCTCTGGAAGAAAACCACTACATCATATTGGAGTTCGCCCACCTAAATTCGAAATAAAAATTATTCGGAGTTTTACAGAAAAAAACACAATCATAGCAATTACTCAAAGTTTTACAACTTAGCTCTTCCTCATTCTGGAAACAGAAATGCACAGTCATTCTCAATTTTTTTTAGTAATTCCCGCCAAGATTGCATCCGTCGAATGGTGAGCTAAGAATTTTGCGTCTTTGTATAATCAGTTCATTTTTTTTTCCACCCAAAGTGTGCTCATTTCAAGGACTTTTGCAGTACAGAAGTACAATGGTGTTTAGAGTGTAAATTAGTCATAGCGTTCAAGCATTTCGAATTCGAACCGCTCCGAAATGCAGACAGTGTGGGTTGTCAGCTCGTTAGTTAGTTTGCAGCCGCTGCGATACAGTATACCGTCGGCGGCGAAGTTCGATCGATTTTCGCGAACGGCGCATTGCAGGCAGTCGGCTGCGCCTCGACTCGACTTAGTCGATGTCTACTGTCAGTTGTCCTCTTCACCGTTCAAACCTAAGGTCGCCAACCTCTTCAGCCTTGTTTCCACCACCTCTCTCGAGCTTCTTGCACCAAACCTGCACATCTAAGCTGAGACATGCCAAAAATAGAGGGCTTTCGGCTTTTTTCCACCGGATAATTATGGCCAATATTGTGGCTGTTTTGTCGTCGATATTTGGATAGATTCGTCGGATTCAAATTGGGTTTTCATTCCGTTCTCCATAAATCAGCCGCAAGCAGCACACACAACCAGCACGCGCGCGTACGTCCGCAGTGCATCGCATGAACATAAATTTCATCGAACGGGACTGACTTTACCCACAGGGTTACTGTAATTGAGCTAACGGTCAGGTCAAGATGTGGTTTTTGGTTACGGTACCTGGAAAAGAACAGTGGGGCTTTGTCTACTAAGCTGTTTTGGCAAATGTTCCGAAAAATTCCCGTTTTCTATTTGTAAAAAACGACTGCTTTGTTCGTTTATGCCAAACTTATATTTTTCTGCAATTTCACTTTTACTTGATTTTTTTCCTTCATTACAGAAGACTATCGTTTGCGAAAAGTAATAGAATCCAGCAGAAATCTGTGCCTAAACGTAAACATTGACAATTGCAATGATTGTGAAAATTAAGCCCTAAAATACGCGCTTAAAAATCTACCATTTCGCATAATAGTTCTTAGCACCGAAGCGGATAATGTAAAAAAGTATGAACAACATTATAATCTTTGTGTACTCTGCTAGTTTTCGTCAGATACTTTTACTTTAGAAACTCAAAATCTGTTGTCACATGTTCTGTATAGCTACGTAGTTGTACTTTATTCCTTAAGTTGAAGTAAAATTTGGCTGTAATCCTAAGCACGTCAGCGAACAAAATTCCTAGGTAAAAATTCTCGTCATAATTCATCGTAGCTCCAACCGGTTTTCGGGCTTAGTTTTTCGTGAAGATGTGAGACCTGTCCATACCGTCGCTGACAAAAATAAATTATTTTTGTTTTCGTTTTTGCAAAAGCGTTAATGTTTCTTTGCTTTCTTTACAAAGACATTCTCTTCTCGAATCCAGTTCGAGAGTTTTGTGAAGTTGCACATGACTCGTGCATCTCCTGTTTTCTGTAGATTTAGTGAAGGAAAAAAGAACAGTAGAAACCGTGTTTGCTAAATTTTGCTTTATTCTGCAAACGCACACGCCGTACAGAAAGATGCTATGAATGTTGTGAAAGTAAGGACGCTTCGCGCCAAATAGTCGTTACTATACAGCGCAAATGATTACTAACATTAAGCTTTGCGTTTATTTTTTTCATCAGCTATGACTAAATTCTTTTTGAAAATTTCTCAAATGCGGAATGCTTCGAAATATAAATTTGCTGCGACCTGATGAGGTACGGTATCGGAGGTACATCTAGGACGTTCTTTTCGATCAAAAATTTACATGTTGTGTCTTTTTAATGTACAAAAATCAAATTTTTCAAGTGAACCCCTGACCCCTGACATTGGCGGGGGTGAGAATTTGCATAATTTTACGTCGATACACGAGGCGTCTAGTGTTGTGGCAGCGGCGCCCAACCATAAATCTCGGAAGCAGATCCGAACAGATGAAAGGAGCCGCTGCGCGCTCTTTGCGCTACGCGACCTGCCACCTGACCAATCGTTGGGGGCGTACTGTAGCCACCTTAGCTATGTTGTGCAACATTTGAATTCTGCCCTGTTATTCCCCTTGGAGGCAAATCTAGCAAATTCTTTTTTTTCCAGGATCAAAATCAGGAGAATCGAAGCGCACACGACAAACATACTCACGGAATCAGACGCTTGAGCTGGAAAAAGAATTTCACTATAACAAATATTTAACTCGAAAACGAAGACAGGAAATATCGGAAAGCCTGCAGCTGACCGAGAGACAGGTACGGTAGCTCAGAACTTGTTCCCTCTCTTCATCAAACACATTAACGCGCCATCAAAACGATGAATCAACGCGCTGCCCCGCGTTCATCTACTCTTTTAATGGTCTGTTTATATACACACATTCCTTGCTCCGCGCTCTGCCATCTACAGTAATCCCGGCGTCATCCCTAGATGAAAGGCGCCGTCATTTCGCTCTCTTTGTCACTATTTCGATTTCCCGCAAACAGACGACAACGCGTTTTTCTCGGCCGCTAACGCCGTTTCTCAAAGTGAAATGCGGTGTGCGACGAAGATTAGAATTATTGATTCAGAAAAGGTGCAGTGAGTAAAAACAATCGCGCTCCAATGTTTCTATTCCTCGAACAAGCTATGGCCTTGGGTGTGCGTCCGATGGGATAATAAATATGAAACCTAATGGCTGTTTACTGATGTGTACTTTCTAATGCAGTTCGCCATGACAGCAACTCCTCGAAAGAACTAGAAATAGATATGCGAGTAAGGCTGCTAGCGCCATGAATGCAAGCAAACAACGGGAAATTTTTTAATGTCATTGAGTTCCCCCTTACAGTGAGTTGAAATGTATCTATGATAGTCCTCATTTCCTCATTGCAATAATCGCTTCGTGTAAATGCGCTACGTTTTGAATTTTCATTGGCTGCTGCATTTGAAGGAACACGATCTTTGTGTCATCTTTTTTTATAATTTGGACTGTTTTTTCCAAATTATGTTATCGACTGCACGTCCAAGGCTTGCTCTACTGCAAATTGCAAAAGTGATGGAATCACATATGAGTACTTGAAGGAGGCGAAGTACTTTATTTTACATCAGCATGAGTTCATACTCTCTTCACATCCCCTTTCGCTACCAAAAGACACAGTCGCTTCTACTGAACAAACATTCTTACTATATTCCTATCATACCTCGGACTCATGCTTAATAATCTCTCTAGAACGCGATTTGTTCTCCATGTAAAGCTCAAAGCATCATGTACCCGTGATTGTGCTGTTCTCAGAGGGTTTCAAAATTTTGTATGCAATGCTGTAGCTAGTAGAAGTGATTGGGATTAGGCACTTTGCAATGCTCAACAAGTTTACGAAGAATTAGTACTGTTTTAACTGGTGGTCCTGAGCCATTGGCAATGTTGATGTTTCCTTCAAAGGGCGTGACAGTTAAAACGTTTGTGAAATATATGAACAGAGAAGAAACCAATTTTTTATTGGTAGCATACTGCAGGCGTGAGAATGATAGTCATCTGGGAAAATTCAGTAATGCAGCAAGTTTTTGGGAGCGAAGATAAAGGATTCTATGCCCTTGAATTTGAATCGTTTTCTCAGACCAGGGTTCAGTCACCTTATTTTTTGGGACTACCACAAAAAATACTCTCTTGAGTACCATATATAGCAAAACATTGTGTTCTTTCTATCAAAAATTTCAAAAGCAGTTGTTTATGAAGGTAACAATGCTTACAAGAAACATAGCGTTCATCGAATGAGAGGCGTTACGGTAATCGACAAAGCGAATGCGCTTACGAATGGCGAATGCAAGTATCTAACTGTATATGCATAGAGATTGGCTTTGTAGAAGCTCAGCGAATAGGAATGGTTGATAGGATAGTAGCTACAGTATCCCTTTCTGGAATTCCACTGAGTGTGAGCAGCTTTGTTGATCAATTTAAATGAATTACTGAATGGTATAGGGAAGGTTTTAAAGTAATGTTTAAAGCAAAAGAGTATGAAAGAGCTGCACAATAACTAAGACTAGCAATTGCATATTGCATATTGATTAATTCATTGCTACTAAGGCAGGCGCTGTACTCCTCGAGGAGTATAGCATGGCGTTGATCGATATGCATCAAATACGTGTAAAACCGGCGATTTTTGTCGCCGATATTGGCGATCGCCAGTCGTAGCGATCGCCAGTCGTAGCTTAGGCAGGTGCTATACTCCTCTTCGAGGAGTATAGCACCTGCCTAAGCTCAGTTATGCGCTACAGTAAGACGTCATACTGCCGAAAAATCGTAGTGGACCAGCTTTTCGATGAGCTTTTGTTGTTTCAGGTGAAGATATGGTTTCAAAACAGAAGGATGAAGCACAAGAAGGAGAGCAAAGGCGAAGGTACGGGCGAACACGAGAGCGATGAGTCGACGCAGGACGACCAGCAGAACTCCTAAACGCCCGGTGCTCGACGCGCGACCCCCCAGTCCCCGAATTCGCATTCATCGCTTTGTCTTCTTCCAGTTGCCATACCCCCACCATAATCCCCGTCGTCATCACAAAGATGTATGCAAATGCACATACCACACATATTATCCGTTGTTCCTGATCATGTTTTTCGTCGTACTTGCGCGCGGCTCTGGAACGTCCTGTAATTTATCTCGAACGCACGGGTTTCTACACGCTAGAGCTCTTCTCTTTCTTCTCTCTCTCTCGCACAAATGTGAGTTTAACGCCCTGTTCCGATCTCTTCTAGTTTCTCGCGGGCTCCCCGCCGTCCTTCTGCTAGCGGTGAGTTCTGCGATATTGCGTCCCAGTGTATTGTGTTGTTTATACATGGTTTAAATGAAGTATATTGTATGTAAGACAGCTGCTATTTTCCTGTGCAAAAGCGTTCATATCGCTAAGTGAATTCATTACATCTAGTCGATGAATATTTCTCTTCCTTGTATTTTGAAACAACTGGATGTGTTGACAGAGGCGATTCGCAAACGTTTCACCATAAGACTGCTTACATTTGAACGATTTACAGCAATGACAGTTAGTAAATCCTAAGGATATTTTCGCTACGTTCTGGTGCCTGGATAGCAGAAAGTCACGAATGATTAGTTTGAGGAGTACTAAGCAAATTGTATTACTAGTTAATCTCATAGAAATAATTTGTGAGCAGAAGACAATGGGTGATTGAAAAAAATTAGATTTGAGGACGAAATCCAATATGGAAAATTGAGAAAATGTTTATTTGTTAATTTCAACGAATCATGGCTATTTGCATTTACTTTTCGCAGCGAACAAGCTACATATTATGATTCTGTGGTAAGAGACTCGAAACCGCTTTGCACACATCGCATAAGCCACCTTGACCGTGTAACTAACAAGTTTATACTTGTAATGTACCAAATCTAGGATTATCTGCTACTTAAAAACAACAAAGAACAAGTTTAAACTTGTTTAGACGATGTGTGCAAGACGGTTTCGAGTTTCTTAGTATTAGTCTCAGAATGCATGATAAATATTTGGCAGTGGCCCGAAGGAGGGGGGGGGGGACAATAAGTAATGAATAAAATTGGAATGAGAACGTTTACAAAGTGTGACTATAACTATATTATGAAGTATGCAAGTTATAGAATTTTACAAGTAATTTGTTATCAGATGATCTGAAATTTTCAAATTTTCCCTTCCCAATTTGTTTTGTGAAAAATATTTATCGAAGGCATAGCTGCCGCCTTATCTTCTTCTACAAATTTCGGGATTGCAGGCCTACTAAGAAGTCTAGGTTCTTTACTATGGATTTATTTGATTAGCATGAACTGTTACCCTTCTCACCTCGAACGAAAATTCTCGGAACCTGGCTGATATTGTGTTTGATTGAGTAATAATATCAGTTCTACTCGCAAAATGAAAATGAAATGCTCTCTGTTTGATAAAACTTAGTTTCTGGCAAGCATGTGCAAGCTGACTAGTTTGCCAGCGTCTAATAGTCGGTGTATTTATGAGCTCTGACAAAAATTTCTTCATGCTCATCTTTATACTGTTCTCTTATCCTTTCCAAACACTTTGCTACCTTGTCAGCGTGTAGGTCCGGAACATCAAAGTATTTATAAGAATTGCATTTTCTACGGATCTTGACGAGCATCGCTAGAGGGTATGAAATCACAGGACTGGAATTTTTACTTTTTGGACTATAACGGAGCAATAACCACAGATCAGAGGCTCCCGCGCTCTGAAAAACTGGACTTCGCTTTTACAATTTTTGTAAATGTGGATGAAGGTATCGAAATAACAAGTGGTTTTTGCAATTCCATGACTTCTCTTTTTAAGCTGGCTTGGCGCTCTCTCACTAAATTTCTTGCAATACATAGATAGTGTAGTGAGATAATTGAGAAGTTCTTGAGAAGGAAGTAAAAAGCAGTGATCTTCAGGAGAGCGGGTCAAGTTTGATTCTCTACTAGGTTAACAAAAGAAGCAATTCGCGGCCTAAATCAGGCACTATTAGCTGAACCTGTGCATGAAGTGTTGCTAAAGGATCTTTAAAAATAGAAAAAAAAATGCAAACCTAATATGTGAGTGATGATTACACAACAAGAGTTGATTTTTCTCTTTACATAAGCAACTGGCGTAGGCTCGCTATTTGATCTGCTTGAAGATTTTCGAAACAAAAACTGACAAGTTTACTCGGACTTTATGTTACTAACCAACTAATAGCCTCAGCTTGCAAATGTCATCGTTTACCACATTTTTGATGCATCTGCAACTCAATCTTGGAGTTTCGCGTCCTTCAGGAAAACCACCAAGACTTTTTTCGGTGATAGAAGGGAATGACATAATCTGACAGTGAACTAGTCAATCTAGTCAATCTATTCAATCACCACTAGTATTCGTGACGTAGAAACGAGCAGACAGACGGCCGCGTGACCCTTGCGGTCGTAAAGACGAGTGCGACTTTCGGTGTTAACTACGTTGTAAATCATCAACGGCGGCTCACAATTAGAGGGCTGTTTCTGAGAGGCAGCGAAGGCCGAATGCCAATGCCCCTTCTGACAACACCGACTTCGCCCTTATCTGCTTTCGGCTTGAGCTTATCTTTACAGCTACGTTGAACGAGTTGGAAACAGCGTGGCGGAATGATTGGTAGCGAGTATGGGGCATTCTCGAATAATCTCTTGGCTGATTTTCAATGGAAGCGCAGGTCAGAGTTACAAAAGACTGCCATCTTCTGCATGTCTGGAAAATCAAAGCTTGTTAAGGAGCTATACAGACTGAGAAAAGCTGATTCTACTGAAACAATTCCCTGCTTTTTCGAAGAAGACCTCAATTTGCGTCAACTCGAAAAGCTCAAGGTTTTTCTTTTTCATTTTAATTCTGGTCCCAGCACGACGGTGGACAATCGCAACTTGAAAACTAGGTATGGATCAAAAGTTGCTTTTGGTAGTGCAGTGGCCGTAATCATCAACGAATCTTGAGGTAGAATCCTACCTTAAGGTTCGTTGATGAAAAGCTACCTTAAGGTTTTCAGCCTTGGGGTAGCTTCGTGAATACGAATTCTTAGCATCTCGAGGTAGAATTCTCCCTCAAGGTGGGTTTAACCCTTGAGAAATGTTTTTTATGAATACGGATATCAGTAATAATCTACCTTGATGTAGATTTCCTCAAAGCTCGTTGATGAATTCGGGTCACGTTCGATGACAACAACCTTTCATTTAGGGATTTTTTAAAAAAAAAGCGCTCAAAGTTTCATGTCTATGGGCCTTACATAACAGCTGTCGTCGTGATCATCGTTTTGAATTGAGTAAACAACTGATTTTGATACGCCCAGCCTTTCAAAAATGGGGAAATGGTAAATGTCGAATTATAGGTCGTTGATGAGGCTGAGGAAAAAATCGCAATGCTGGACTACTTTTATGCAGACTCACAGCTCAATCAAAAAGAACGACAAATGATAAGAGACTTCCTTCAAAAAAGATTAGGTATGAGATCATTTAGTCGTATAGTCGACAAAATTTTCTTCTGCGCCTTACTGAAAATTGAATATCCAGTTAAAACTTTATTCAGTGATAGTCACATTACTCTGTGCCTCATTGATCCAGTGATCGATCCCCACTAGAACGCATGTCTTTCAAATTACAAAAGAGGCTTGGAACTAATCATAATACTGTTGTAAGCACTTTTTATCGTTGGAATGACTGAGGAGGTGCAAATGTAGGAATATTGAGGGTTTCATAGAAAAGTAGAGCAGATCTACTAAAATGAAATATAGAATTCTAACTCTATATATGTTGCACAATTGCACCGTGCAGCGTTTTGAGCACAAAATATCTTTGCTAATTATCGTCAAGTTATTCGTAACTTAATATGTGTACTGCACACTATGTGCGCTATCTGACGAACTCCAGGATTAGAACCTGCTTATTTCCAATGATTTCTTCTTGTTTATCAGTCTGTCTTTATTCTTATTGGATATATGTTAGCTAATAGGACACGAATTTAAGCTTCGTTAGGCTAGAAAAGATTTTACTGAAAAGTTACTAGTGAGGGTGCCGCCGCTTGCCGCGCAGAGTGTGCAATTTCACATATTAAGTTACAAATGACTCGAGGTACTTATGTATGATGCCACATACTATTCGATCAAAATCACCTTAGATAAATTCACCAAGAGCATCTGCTAATGCAATGACCAGAAACTGTGTATTTGCATATTAAAATCGAAGTTGAATAAATCTTGTATATGCTGCCGAAGAATTTGCTTGCTCCGCGTGCGAATAGTATGAACCTATACTTCCTTTCCATTACATAAAACATGCGTTGTATTCATGCAAACTGGCCTCGATTTGTTGATTGTGCTTTTGTCAGTTTGTGAAAGCGTTAGAAATTGTTTGACATTCATCACATTATAATCGTTAAATTAAACATTGTGCTAACATCTCATGCAAGCTATATTAGCACAATGTTTGTTGTAGTTACATCATCATAAGACATCATTTCGTTTTTTCATTGAACAAAATACAATTTCGATTCTACAAGGAGAAATATCAACTGTCACTTCCCTCATCATGCTCAAAAATCGCTTGGATTCTCGTTCTTACAATTAGAAATAAATCATTTGCTCTCTATATAGTTGAATTCATATGAATCATTGCTGATCATAAGCTAATCATAAGCTGATCATTGCTTTTATAAAAAACAGCAGTTTGGAGGAGTGCCATTTGATAAGTAATTTGAGTGTTACAGTTTGTACTATGTTGCGAACCTTTTTCTTAGGTTAACAGAGAAAGGTACTGGACTGACCATTCTTTCGACTAGCTTTCAACTAGTAAACTAATCGTCTGTGTTAATCATTGGTTCTTTGTATTTTTCAGCAGATACAATAGGAGACTTCAAATTCCTCATACGTCCATAATCATAAAGTTAACCCTACGTCTTAAGTAAGCTTTACTTCAGTCACTGAAGAAGACGTCCACTGAAGTACAATGTAGGGAAGCTATGAACTTTGTGCTCTCGGTTCGATCAAGAAATGTAATATTCAATTGTTTATTCATGCTTTTTGAGAGAGTGAACTTAAAAGTGTGCACATATGCTTGGGGACAGTTCGTTGCAATGAATACTTTTTCAGGGCTCGGGACGAGGGTGACAAACGGGCCATGAAAAACAAAAACTGCTTTTCGTGTTTTACGATTTCACTAGATCGCGCAAGCTGCATGGGGTGTTGAACTAGAGCGCGCTTACATCTAAGGACAGGCGTATCGCTCTTATCTCGAATCCTAACAGAGAGAAGAAGTTTTGGAACCAAAATGGTATTACGTAGTAAAATTCTGTTGTGTAACAGTTATGTAAAAATTCTAGTAAAATTATGTGAGTTGAGGGTGTAATCATAAATAAGTAGTAGCAGATTCTGAATTTTTACATATGTTCTAAAAGTAACTAGCAATAAGAGAAGTTCAAGAGCTCGTTCTCATTGAAGACAAGATTTTTTGGGCGAAACTTGAACAAGCTTTCTGTAAGCGGAACTTTTCTTCTTCGAAAATCTGCTCGCTTATGCATTCAGAATGGCCGGAGCCAATCTGCACTATTTTGTACAACGAAGCGATTGAGGAAGACAAAGACAATGGTGTGATGTTGCGAGTGAAGCGATACATAGAGGTAAGTGCGAGCAGCACTCGTCATATTGATAGATAAACTGCACAAGCTTATAACTTTCAGTGATGGTAAAATCTGTCTCAATCGTAATAGTTGTCGTTTAGAGGCTTCCAGAATTTTTCATATCCAAGAGATCCTTGTATGCATTGGATATAATTTTTGCACCATTTGAATTTCTGAAAATGCTTAAGTGAACTATTTTGTTTGAATAATATTGGGTCGCATCGAAAGTTCGTTCCATTTTTTAGATCTAAGCTCAAACCACTCACAATAAAGGTTGACAAAAGCTCCAATCGATGATCGATGCAGGATTTCCTCTTTTTAGGAGGTGGTGCTTTCCGAATCCTTTGACGAGCGCTCATTGAAGTTTCCAACCCATGGTTTTTTACCTACCCTGCCTTCAGCTATAATCATGATTTTCTTTTTAGACTTTTGAAAGTTTTGATGAGCTTTGGATAGCGAGCAAAAGCAACATGTAATTTTTCTAGCATCTCTAACTTACCTCCAAAAACTTCGGAAATTGCTTTTTTTACTATCAGATCCCATATTTGGGCATTTTAAGAACAACGGCGAGCTTCTAGCGTGTATCGGATTAGTGTTTCCCTCTTTCCAATAAGTGTTTTTTGTTCGAGTTGCTGAATCTGCGAAAAAAAGAAAACCATCATACCTCTTGCCAGACGTGTTCCGGGCTTTACCCGGAAAATTCGATATTGGATATTTTGAAGTGGTAAACGCTCATTTGTCTTGCAGAATTAGCGTTCAAGTATTTGGTTAGTATTTTGAAGCTTTTTGTACATTACGACTTTCGAAGTAAAGACTGTCGGAAAAATCATTTTGAAAATTGCATGAAAGCCGGTTGAGAGGCCAAAAATCCATTATGTTGCAATTTGTTTACTCTATGTAACTGTTATAAAGCTTTCCAAAAGTTTGTATTGAAGTCTTGAGAAAAAGCCAAAATTAGGTAAGTGAAAACCATGAGTTGGAGCTTCCGACGTTATCCGAGCGATTGTCGGAGGAGTTGGAACAAAAACAGTTTTGATAAAATAGGAGGAAGCTGTACATTCAATATCGTTTAGAGCACTTGTCTACCTTTTATCCAGTAATTTGATCACAGGTCTGAAAAATGACAAGAACTTTTAATCTCATCTGATATTTTCTCATCCTTGTGTCAGATAGTATTTCATTATATAATTTAGGAAATTAATTTGAAACCGAATCAATGTTCAAAATAAGAAATCGATAGAACTGCAACTTTTCGTAGAGACATCCAGTCTCTACGAATGTAAGCAAAAGTACAACTTGAGTTTTTTATCAGTTTCATTGCCTAACAATAATATACTCCTGAACACTTATAAAAACATGATTTCTTCTCTCTGACAAATACCGTATCCAGAGATTCATTGAACCTGGGAGAAAATTAAGATTTCGAAATTTAGTTGCAATGCTTATGTTTCTTATTATGCAACACGTGCTTCACTGAGAGATCAAACATACGACTAATAAGCTTTTTTTCATTTTCTGTCAGGGGGAGGGGGTAAGGGACAGAACATTTCGAGTCCATCGAATCGACTACTTAGATTCAGTTTCAAATGAAGAGTCTGCTGTTATTAGATCTCCTGCGTTTGGCGACTGAATCGATTCTTTACATTTTCAAGTCAAATGAGTTTTACAGATACCTTGTCATAAAGTATGTAGCTTCTTAACAATAGCCAGAACTTCACCTCCTCTGTGTAAACTCTTTGCCTGAGTGTCATTGTGATTTAGAGATTATTCGAAATGTATGTGAGTGTGAAGTATTTCTGGAAAAAGCGCAGCAACAATATGCCTTTTCACAAGGGGGATTTGTCCGTTTTGTCTGATGTAAGTGCTCAAGACGAACCTTGGGTTAATGAAATGAAGCATCTCACAAGTTTTTTACAATATTTTATGCGGGTTAGATGTATGGAGTCATCAGTGATCAACAGGGCTCGGCTCGAGGTGACTTCCCGAATACGCAAAAAACAAAGTCCCTTCTGACTTTCGTTAAGTTTTGAAAGTCCCCTTTGTTCCAAAATCGGAAACTTCGACTAAAAAATTTAATTTATCTTGTGTTTTTCCAGACCGCAGAAACGATATCCCTTTATCCATGTTCAACTATCAATTAATCTCGGCATCGTGAAAGTGTATGGTCGGCTTCCAAATTCGTGTGGAGGCGGATCACGAACTTACCTGATCTTAAGGATAAGCTTAACGAGAGAGTACGAAAAACAATGCTATAACGTGGACGTTTAACAAGTTTATCCTGAATCAGGGAAGTCCGCAACCCGCCTCCACACGAATCTGGGAGCCGATGATATATATCTTTCACTGATTTGTTCAGGCACAAGATTGGATTGGTATATCTCTTTGTATGACCGACGTCCCCGAAGAAGGCGATATAGCCGAAAGGTCGGTCAAATAAAGAAATATGCCAATTTTGTGCAAGCTGAACAAATCAGTGAAAGATATCCCCTTTGCTTTTTGTCTCAAAAAAGGAAAACCAGCTTGCTTACAAGCCAACTGTGCCGAGCCTTGGTGATCAAGCATCATTCTGATGTAATACGGTAGTAGTCTTGCCCCAGACTCTGCTTGTGCTCCTCTACTTTACCTATTCAAGTGCTTATGAGTAAAACTAAAAAGTTTGACTGTTCTTTAAACATATTTTCAGATGAACACTACCACGTGGACATTACAGTTGTTGAAAACTGCAGAATGTCTTCAGAAGATTCCGCGATTTGCATGGGCAAAATACTACGCAATGTAAGCAGCTTCACCTGCTCAAGCAAAAAAAAGCAGACCAAAATTTTTACTGTTATTGTTGCGTGAAGTTTCTGTCTTATGAGAAGAGGTATTAGCTGGCTATAAGACTGATGATGTATAAGAAAATTGATCAAATGTTATGACCGCTTTTTTTCTTTGTCTCATCTTACTCCCTCATCATTTTTCTTTGAAAGTTGTTTTCGCTCACAGATCTTGAAGAATAGCTTCTTGAAGTGAAGTGATCGAGCTGAAATGCATGCTTCTAGTCAACGGAGAAATTCTACGTGGCCTGAGCAACTCACCTGTCGCAGTAACGCTTCAGTTGTTTGCTTTTGTCTCTCTAGTTCAAAAGCTAGCTGTTGATTCTGCATTTCAAGTTCCGCTACTCTTTCATGGATTTTGCAGTTTTCAGCACTTTCTGCAAACGATAACTCGTTTTTCGTTCAAGATTTTGCCATATAATAACATTGACGATCCTACACCTTTATCAACTATATTATAGGGAAGGTGATAACACTTAGCGCAGTGATGTACTGTAGTACACCGACAACATTAGCGCACAAAATAGAGTATCTGACTTTGGCGCCTCATGACCACTTTCAGTGCGCAGGTACTTTGAGCGATGTTTTTTTATTGAGCGTCTCTAACAGACCCTATGGTGCTTCCCACTATTGGCCGATCAAGTCTAATAGTAGCATCCGTAATGTCCTATCCGAAATGTTAAGAGCTGTTTGGAGATTTTGCCAACTTCATCTATTAAGCTGTCTCATAATTTTTTACCGTTTTTATCACGACCGTCGTCTTTTTGTATCTTTCCATCAATTGATGTGGCTTAATAAGCATTCGAGAGAGCAAAGCAAGTTCTATAAGTTGGCTATCAAGAGTCTGTCCAATTCGTATTCCACATGAAGTTTTGAACTGAATTATGATAGCAGTCAAAGACGAACTTGCTGTAAAAAATTGTATCCCGGCCCAAAAAACCTTTAACATTTCCCATTTATCCTAGCATATACTTGACACATCGAACATCCAACTGCACCTTTCCGTACTTTTTCCATTGCTAGAAATAAAGAAAAAAGTGAATGGAGTAAAATGGGAAACTCCGCCCTTAGATGTCCAGAGCTCTCCCCACACACTATATAGCATATAGCTCAAACATACAGAGTTACGATCATGTGTTTGTACTCTTTGTAGGTGCCCCAGTTCTCGAGAAATGCTGATGCTTGAGGTAAAAACAGTAAATAATTACGAGACATTTTAATATCTCATACAAATTATTTGTGTGATTGTACTGAATTTTCTTTTTCGAAGGCGACCTTACAGGCTTTTCCGATTCTATTGTATATTGTGTAAGGGATTGTCACACACAAAGTGTATTAGCGTGATTGCTACTGCGCTATAATGTCTAGTACTCACATATGGAAACCAAAGTTCTATATCTGAATAGTGTAGCTTCTATATGCTGTGAAGAAAAGTACAGAAGGGTTTCGTAATGAGGATTTTTTCAACCTTTATTTTGCAGTACACTCAAGACGCACCAAAATCAAAACAAAAACAAAGAGTAACGTGGAAAGGCTTGACCGAGCATGATATACCAGCTAATTCTAAACCTCAGGGGACGAATGTGAGGTAACCGGCGATTAAACAGAAAGAAAGACGAAGCCCGGTTCCGAATGAGTTGAAGATATTCACGTGTCAAGAACAAACAAACTTCCAAAAGGCGAAGCTAATCCGAAAAATGTAGAGTCCGGAATCTTGCTATACCAAAAGTCCCTGATAATCCCAATTTGGATGTCAGCTAGCCTAGGGTGGATGCTAGCTGGGTTGGCCCGAAGGAAAATAGAGGATAGCAAGATATGACTTCAGTGCTACACATGAAGCTGTAGCAAATAATTATAACAGCCTTCCTAAATAAAAGTGATCCGGGCTGCTGTGAGGATTGGGTTCGCTGGGGTGAAGGTAGGTTCCCTGAAGATACAATAATATGTAGGAAGGAAGGACATCAGCGCAAAAAATTGGACTTGCTTTTGAGTAATCTGAAAACTTGAAGCAGTCAAATCAGAGCAGGTGAAAACAAAAGGATTATCGTTATAAGAAGCTTTAAGCTTTAGGATTCACTCTCAGTTTGCTGGCATGGATCTCGTGTAAATAATTTCTTGAATGCATAGGACTTACGGCTTTTTATCTATTCAATAAATGAGAGTGGCATTGCAATTTTCAAAGGAAGAATGAGGAGCACATTTGCCATCAGCTCGATTTGTGACAATCTTCTAAGTACTACATGCCAAACTCACTTTCATTCAAGGAGGCAACCTTAGTGGGATCTGGGATCGATCTGTAACATGTGGAATGAATATGCAAAGATATGCCATTAGAAAGCAACTTGCAGCATGTCTTGTAGAGAGTGGTTGCCTCGATACAAACATAATAATGGGAAAACAAGTAAAGGCAGCAGCCGAAACAAAGAGCACAGAGAGCAGATTATAACAGAGCCCACACCAATAAACAGGACGTAAGCAACAACTCTTCCATTTTCAATTCTGAATTGCTATGTACACCATATTCGTTGATACAAAACAGAACTGACCCCTCATTTTCTGATGCATGTGTAGGCGTTGCTGTAAAAGTTTGTTTGAATCAGCTTTCATAGTTGAACTTTTAGCGGATATTGTGTATGCTTTTTTATTGCAATTTTGAAGTTTTGGGAGAACTCTAAGGTTTATTGGAAAAACATCTAATAATCATAATCCATCTAATTTAATAAGTTTCTGAAGGAAAAGTTTATCCTGTACAAGCACATGTCCTTTGAAGAACTCAAGCTCAACCTATAGTAGTGCCCGGATAATCAATCGAGATCTAGCCAGTCTTTTCAAAAATTGTTGCACGAAGCCGGCATCGGAAAGCCTTGCATGTCAAAGATCACTCCCACTTAGAGTAACGGTGTTTTAGTTGCGAATGCTATACGAAAGCCTACAATTGTAAAGCGGCTTATTCCTCCAGCCAACAACAGCAACCGATACGAGGGGGTGACGGAGAAAGAGTCGCGAAATTTTTGTAGCAGTCTACATGACAACTAATGGAGATGTGTTTTTTTTTATTATTAAAGTAAGTTTTCTTCCAATCAACAGGGTGGAAGAAAGTTTTGAGACATTTCCGAATCGAAATTGTTCTTTCTCAAGAGGTAGTGCGATGTGCGGATAGTCTAGGGCTGAGGGTGGACTTTGTCTTCTATCAAAAGGTGTGCAGATGTCTTCAGTATTACAGAAGCAAGATTTCCACCGTAAGTCAGTACCCCAAATCTTACCAATGTAACATTTACAAGTAAACCAAAGGTTATGGTACTCTTGCGAGGACGCTGCTCTCCCACTGCAGGCAATCCATATCTTATGTAGCATGTATAAACGATGACATCGTAGCTTCTCAGCTGCAGTATATACACAGGTTTTATCTTCCAAAATGTAAGTACAAGTTTTAAGTATTCTTTAACGACACCATCTACACCATCTACAACTGGGCGCCAGATTGCGAATTGGGACTACTGATACTCGATGTGAGATGTCGTGCGAAGAATGAGTGCGCATAATATTATCCCCTTAATGTAGGAGAAGAGCATAATGGGATATAGCTTTGAGCTCAAAGTGAATGGGCTTTGATCACTGTTACATATTCTAGGTTACGTCCTCAATTTGAAAAGACGAGACTATCGCAAATCATGGAATGTTGATCAAACAGACTCAGTCTGTGTAATAACATTACTAACTAGAGAATGAGAAAGCCATAATTTCCCTCAAACATGAAACGAACATCATTGTAGGCACTCACCAAACTCAATAGGGCTCTCGTGCGAAACGCCCTCCTTGAACTGTCGTTCCGAAGCAACCCATTTCTGGAAACTAGTTCGTATTGTCATTTCGCTGTTTTTTTTGTGTGCAAAGCAAAATTTCTGACAGGTACTCGAATTGCGTACTTTGTTGACGGCAGTGTTCTATGGTAAGGCAAAAAAGCCACGATACCTGCTCGAGAACCTGGTCAGCTGCGCAACAGCGGTCGAATTCCCAAAAAGCACCATTTTCGTTGCTTGTCGCAAATATATGTCCTGTCCCGGTTCCACTGTGATGAGCATCGATACTGGCTTCGTGTGAGCAATCAGTAGGCGTCTGAGCGGTGTGGTCCATAAGTGACTGCGAGTTTCTTATTCTCGCGGACCGCTGTAGTTCGCAAAGTTCTTCCCTCCAAACACTCATAGCTTTCTGCTCAAGAAATGATTATGAGGTGCACAAGTTTACTTGCACTTACAGAAAATGCTGTAAACGTGCCACCTGGCAAGCCTTGCTGGGGCGGAGAGAAGGATGAAGTAGCTTCAGCGGTGACGTCTATAAAGTCCATCTCGCCCGTCAAATACGTCGTTGACATAACTGCGCCTCTTATGTTGCTAATTCAAATTAGATGGATTTAGTAGCTTAAATTACCTGTCAGATCTTCCCAACTGTTCAAAATGAATCGAATAGGGTGATGAGTTTGCAAAGGTGTTATTGCGATCAAGGCTGATATGATTGCATGATCATGCATGCTCATTCTCAAGTGACTTATTGTCAACTTTGATTAGGGATCGGTCAGAGTTTGTCAGTGTTGCCTGTGTTGAAAGTGTTGCCGGTGTTGAAAGTGTTGAAAGTGGAAATCATAAGTCTTGCAGTTCCATTCCTCTTCGAGCGATCTCATCGGCTGGTGAGTACTTTGAAATGGAAGTGGGGATTAAGAAATGAAAGTAAATAAAATGGGAAGTGCTTTCGCGTGCAAAAGATCCTCATACAAAATTTATGGAAATTAGAGGACTTGTTTTGAATAGGCAATCTCCAACATCTGAGAAGGCTGCTAAAGTCTGATGGGAATGCGTGTTAGTGTCGAATCCAGCGCTTCTGATTGAGCAAAAGAAACATGGGAGATCTTGCAGCGTTCTCGAATGTTGGAGATTGCCTCTTTCAAACAAGTCCTTCACTTTCCAAAAAATTCGTATAAGGAACTTTTTGCGAAAACATTTCCTACTTCACTTCAGTCTCATTTCCCATTTCCATTTCAGACGTACTCACCAGCCGATGAGATCGTTCGAGAAGGAATGAAACTGCAGGACTTATGATTTCCACATCCAACGCTTTCAACACGGGCAACACTTTCAACACTTTCAACACCGGCAACACTTTCAACACAGGCAACGCTTTCGACACTTTCAACACTTTCAACATCGGCAACACTTTCAACATCGGCAACACTTTCAACACAGGCAACACTGGCAAACTCTGACCGATCCCTTAGGTTTTACTAATAATCGTACCAGCTCGTCTCGGGTAAATGATTCCACTTTTCATTTTCATTGCACTCAACGCCTGGAGTGCCCAAGGTCGGCTCTATGCAGGTGCTATGCTCCCATTCTTGACTTGTCAGCCGTCCAACTGGCACTCCGACTTAATCTTGCTATCCTCCAAAATCTATCTTCATCTAACAATAAGTCTAGTTAGCTAGTCTCCGCCCGTAAGCTCGCTGGTACTCAAAAAAGGTGTTGAAGTAATTTTGGAGGATGCAAGATTCTAAATTCGTCCTCTCATCGATATTTGTCAAGTGGGTAATATATCCAATGGGTTTTAGGTTGTAGTTCGCCTATACCTTCACCGTTTTTCTCTCTGAAGCCTTGAACTAGCTGATGTCATGTTTTGTTCGACGTGTTTGAGTTTTTTTTTCATTTCCTTGTTTGGTGCTCCCTGAATGTATTAGTTAAAACGCACATGCCTCCCTCTCAAATCATATGGCTAACCAATAGGTACATTCAAAGGACTGTGTAAAAAAATAAGGCAGAAATGTGAGGTCGCATCGAAAGTAATTCGTTTTTTTCATAGCGCCGCCACAGTTTGCAAGCAAAATGTGTCTTATACAGAAGTTCATAGTCAATCATTGAATGCCTCAAAGTTAGGAATCTTGACGACTTAAATGTATATGTTCTTCGTTCATTGTGGAATGCCAGTACTTCCGAAGAGGTGATTCTGTAAGGCCACTGAGAGCCTATGAAAAAAATCCTATAAGGGGATGTTTGCCCTATTGCGTTTTTAGCATTAATTGTATTCCTTCGAGAGGCAGCCTCAAAAATTTGAAAATTTGTCGGACTTGATCATCGCAAATAGCATAAAATGCACATCTGGTGATTTTCTAAGAGCTCCTTGGTTGTACTGCAATGCAAACATGATTATGTAAACGGGCATAAAATGCTGCGTCAAATGCTTCAAGATGCCAAGGGTTTTGGTTCTGCGGGACGTGGCGCTTTTTCAAACAAAGCAAAGTTGGCGCCTCAATAGTTTGGCAAGGAGCGATGCTAGACTATAAAAACAGAGGATTCTTTCTGTCAGGCATGAAGAAATCGAAGCGCATTCACAAGCAGATGTTTCCTTTCTTCCAAAAAAACCTGTTTCTTTTCATCCAAGAAAATGGTTTTTTTTTCATCTTAAACACTATAATATAGAAGGTGTTCTACATTAGATGCTCTACAAAAAAGAATAAAAGTCATCGAAAGTTGTTTTCTACCCAATTTGCCGCAACGCCAACCAAACCTTTCTGATCATGCCGAGTTCACTGCCATGCTCCGTACTTCAGAATGAAGGTTCAGCGTGTTTAAAAGAGAGCAAGGAGTGAAGCATCGAGATCTCTGAGATGATAGACAACCAGCCCCCAAGAAAAATTTTCTAGAGTTATTAGGCTAAAAAAGAAATTGCTTTTTAGAAACATATATGGAATACTATTCGATAGAGCAAAGCAAGCCTAGAACCTTGCGTTACTCTTTGCACTAAGTCATACCCACGTGAAGTTTGAAGATAGAATCCATTAGGTCGTTCCGAAAGTGATGTCACTTTTTTCAAACGAACGCCACATTTCGTGGAACCAAGATTTTCAAGAACTTTTTGGGATCAGTCGATGCAGCCTTTTTTACTCATTCTAATGGTTGTAACGATAATACTCAGACAATTGCATCGGGAAGTTCGCGGGTGCTTGCTCGGCCACCAATCATCCATGCCGCGAGCTGCCCGGTATAAACCGATATTGGACCCGATAAGTGACCGCGGCGCATCCTGTAAGCGCCCGATAGTTGACCCGATTACCATGCTTGTGAGACCTAGGAAGAATGAAAAAAATTTTGGCCTGTCTTTCATGACAACGACTGAGTACAAATTGAGCAACTCGTTAGCTCATCTGTCGACATCATCTACTGTCGTCGATGACACTCAACCGATTGCTGAAGTTTGTTTCGTGAGCATCTAAATTCAACTATCACACAGCCCAACCCGAGAAGCGATTAGCAGCTCCACAGACACTTAGGGTAGCCCCATCGCTGCGGCGTACCTCACGCGGGTTCTGCCTTAAGCTATAGCGTGTAAGAATTGCGGCCTTTGATAAGGCCCGCGGCACGCCGAGTGAGGTGATTGGGCCGCGACTCTCCCGATAAGCTTTTTCCAATTTTAACTTTGGCCGCGGCGTTCCCGGTAAAATATACGTGGGCCGCGGCGTGCGCGACTGAAATTTTAAGGGCCGCGGCGCGCCATGTAGCACGCTTTCAGGCCGCGAACTTTCCGATGCAGTTGTCTGAGTATTCAATGAGCTCTCAAAAAATTAGCAAAACCTGCGACCCATGCTTTTTGTCATGGTCAAGTTCGGCTGTTTTTCTACATTTTTCTACTGATTCTCCGAAGATGTGCAAGCAACAGATAAGTAGAGCAAACCCTATAGGACACAAAACAATTTTTTTCTTTTCCTTAGTTTGCTTCTTAGAGTTTGTAAAATCAATTTTTCAGTGCTATCAAATTCCGTATTTGGTCAACTCAAACCTCGCAGAACAACATCCGGCAAGCAACTCGGGTGTCATTCGACGCAGCTTCTCCTCCTCTTTCTACCAGTTGTTTTTTGTTTCCGATTCATAAAGTTTTTCGGAATGAAATCATCATAATTTAGGTTTTCCAATACGCCCCAGGCCGTACCCGAAATTTTCGAAAGTTACTAATCTGGAGCGGTAAACGCTCATTTGCTTTACATTGGTGACAAACCATAATCCACCTTTGTAAGTTTCAAAATCCGAAAATTTATTAGTGTTTGATGCATTAGTGTCTGAGACAGGTCTGCTAAAATTCGGTGACTCCATTGAAAAATCTCTACAAAAATTACGACGAGCTATGCAGAGTAGAAAAAAATTGTGCTGTTTCCTATAGGGTTTGCTCAATTCAAGTGTCACTTGGGCTCTTTCGGAGGATTGCTGTAAAAAGTTAGAAAAATTTGTGAAACTTGACATTCTCAAAAAGCATGAGTCGCAGATTTTGATGACTTTTTCGGAGCTTATCGATTGTTGTGCAATGCTCGTATGACCATTAGAAAGAGAATGAAATGCTGCATCGAATGCTACCAAGATCTCCTAGAAATATTGCTTCCACGAAAAGTAGCGTTCACTTGAAAAAAGCGACATTACCTTCGGAACGACCCAATAAAAAGGTTCAAACTTTCGAAAATTTAGAAAAATTGTGCATCCTTTTGAAAATTTTTGCGCAGCCCCACCTTGCTCACGAACATCCATCTTTCATCAAACATTCATATGTGTGCAATTGCTGTATTATTAAAGGCTAGACCTCAAAGAATTTGCAAGTCTGTTCAAGCGCATGTAATTCTATACTAATTAGCTTAGGAAGTACAACCGCAGACCACTTATACAAGAGCTAGTTCTTGAGAAATATTAAATTCGATTTGAAGCACAAAGAAAGGAGCTAAATTCCATTTTTTTTTCGAGAACTATCTCTTGCGAAAGGCTAAAAATCTAAGACTCTATTTCCTGACTAGTACAGAATCATACACGCGTGAACAGCGCAGCATCAGTTTGGCGGAAGATGAAAATTTTCAATTCTTCAAGGTCTAAGGAAAAATTAATTACAGCAACAGCGCGCATGGATGTTTGATAAGGAATGTATTAGGTTGCTGCATAAGTTTTGTCCGACTTGAATTTTTTGAGTTCAAAATGTCATAACTTCTTTCAAAGTCAACTTTTTTCCAAGATCTTAATTTCCTTGTGTTGAGCAATTCCCTGGCTATCAGATACATATTGAGATATGCGAAAATATTTGTTAAGAAAGAAGCAAGAACTCAAAAGCTTCACAGCGTTTTCTTTGAACCTGCTTTTTTTTGACGTGGCGATGCTTCCTTATGAGAGTTGATGGGCATCTTATCTAACAAGGGATAGATAGAGAAACTTTTGTAGATTACTTTGCAATATAAAAGAGCTCATAGGGTCTACGCTGCCGAGAGATTTTTTTGACCGAGTCAGAAAGAAGCCACTTTTTGACCTCGTTTCAGCGCATGTGTGCATGCCTATTTACGAATTATGAAAGTTTTACAGTTGAAGTGAGCGCCGAAAAGGAATTGGTGAGTGGACCGTGCAGCTCTTGCTTTCTCTAGCACGTCCAACTTTGAGCTCATCGAATTACTTCTATTCTCAGAAAGTTATTGCTTGTAAATGTAAAACATCTAT